TGAATTTTGTAAATTGATAAACAAACAATTACAATATATATTTTTGAAAGCATTCTTACTTCATAGCATTTTTTCACACTTGCCTAACTTTTGCACAGTACTGTATGTGTGTATATATACATTTACATATATGAAATCTTTGATGAAAATAATGGCACCTGGCTTGAAGAAGGTACAAGAAAGGCAGCTGAGTTGATTATTGTCACAAGGCAAGGATACAATCATTCAAGTAAGTTGATATTTAGCTAGACCTGACATTTGGAGATTGAATGGCACAGAACATTTAGAGCCACTTCAAAAATACAATTTGTTTTTTTTAAAAAATTGAAAGCCTGTAAATAATATAGATTTGTGTCCATGAATCATTCCAAACAGAAACAGTGATCTTCTCAACAGAAAGTGATGAAACATTCATTTACTGATGCTTTCTTGCCCAGGTTTCATCTTCAACATTTAGTTTGTCCTTTTTTTTCCAACAGAAAGTTGCCAAATAAGCAAACAGTCAAAGAAAGTAGTGAACTTGGTTAAGCTCAAGCTTAGTATCTATGATTTGCTGTAAAAAATCTGCATATGGTAAAATTCTGCCATTGGACTACACTAGACCCTCCACCCACCCACCCAGTAAAGTAAAAGGTGGTTACCAATTAGTACTTAACAATCATTTCTAAATCATACTTCTTTAAAGGCATAGTATTTACCTATTTGACCAAAGATTTGTACTATTCACTGTTGACCTAATGGCACAATGGTAGCTAATGGGAAAGAGTTAGATTTCTACAGTGATGTATTATAGGAATAACTAAAGGTACTTCAAGAATTCTTGTAGAAAATGAAGGATCTTACTTTACTTTCTGATCATTTTTATCAAGGTCAGTATTTACACATCTAGTTTCCTCAGAAAGAGTTTTAACTTACAATTTAATTTAATGATCTTTTCACACAAGTTAATGATGGTGGATAGAGTTCCAAAATACTACATTTGCAAACAAATACACAATGAAAATATAAAATACTGTTATTTATCCACATTAAAGTAGATATAAGTACTTCTTGGGACATGACATGCTCATACCAGAGTTCTTAACAGGAAGTCACACATTTTTTAGGACATTGAAGCAGGATAAATATTGACAAGGGTCAGCAAGATGATTTGCAAGCACTTTTGGTAGCTTTAATTAACTTGCATACCTAGAACTTCTTGCTGCTGCTTATAATTCTACAAAACTGATTCCTGCTCTGCTTCTTCTCTATACTTTGTTTACTGAAGTAGATATAATTATATAATTATATTTATTTCCAACTTCAGTTCATAAATACTCTCCTCTCCTCAATTATATATAAATACTTGCCTCTCCTCAATTATATCTACCGAACCCATCAGGTCTGGCAGAAGGGGCATGTTGTGGATCCTGTCAGCCAAGGAGCTTCATTTGGTAGGATCTAGAAAGAGAGCCTTTTCTGTTGTGGCACCCTCCCTCTGCAACATCTTTCTCCTTGAGGTGAGATTGGCCCCAACCCTGCTGGCCTTCCAGAAGGCAAAGCGTGGATGTGTCATTGGGTTTGGGGATCCCAAGGAAGTGTGGAGCCCATTAAATGATTACACTGTATATAGCTAGACTGCATTCTCCCCTGTCTTTTTGTTATTATATTCTTCAAATGTAGCTTTTAACTGTTTTTAATTGATTTTAATGGTGGAAGGCTGTGACTGTTAGCTGGGTTTTGTGTACGCTGCCCAGAGTCATATGCAAGAGAGATGGGTGGCAGTATTAAATAAATAAATATATTATAGTCCTTGCAGAGTTATATTTTTGTAAAATAAGGGAAATCAGCATACCATTTATAAGGTATGGATGGTTGCAACATTTTCTCAATTCCATCATAGTGTTTAACAGATTAGGAACATTTGCTTGACCACCTCCTTTTGACAAAAATGTGAAATTCTTTTCAAGAATAGCTCTGTAGTATTTTTTCTGAATGTTTGTCAATTCAACTTCAATAATAGTTTCTTCCTTGGGTGCCAGGTTCTTCTCCACATCTTCTTTGAGCCTTCTCAACATCATTGGTTTTAAGATTGCTTGGAGTTTTTGAACCTGATAAAACAAATATTTATATTACATTTTTCAATTCTTATTATAAGTACCCTTATGTATTATGCATGTCTTCCCATAATTTCCTATTATGCTGCAATTTTTGGAAACATGAAAATATTTCCATAATTGCTGACATCATTCATAAACAGTAATTGCAAAATAACTTAATTACACTAAAATTTCTATTTAACACACGATTTGGGGAAATGAGGTGTCTATTAAATCCAAATGTCCATTAAATCAGAATTTACATCATTTGCATAATTACATAATTGACATGGTAGCATTTGCAGTAAAATCCCAATTTAACAGAAGCACTCTTGATTTAATGTACATTACCCTGTTAATGGGATGAAGTCTGAACTGAATATTTGTCCATTGTATACAAAGTCTGGTAAACAAAGATCTGTTAAGCATTGTTTACCATATTAACATGTACTAAAACACTATATTAACTAACATAGAACTAGAATTCACATATTCAGAGAGCAATGAACATGCACTAGAGTTATTATATGACTAAAAAAATCTTAATCATATGAGATTTAATCATGCCTACATTTTTCAGTATAATTAAATTGTAGTAAATAAGAGAGGCCAATATAATATTGTGATACCACAATAGTACAGCCAACATTTTAAAAATCCTTGTAGATTACATACTACATTTATTAAACAATGTATTATGGTTATATTCTATCTTTCTTCTGCAATAGGATATAACATTTTGTAATGCTGTGGTGCAAGCTAACACACTAGTAACTTTTTTTTGCATACTTCATTTTAAAAAAATTCTTTATTGGGTTTCTCCAATCCACTAATCTCCAGGTGCACAGAACTAACAGCTAAATTCCCAGTTGACTTATTATTCAAGCTGTTTTAAGTGCTGTAGAAATTGCTCTGTTTTTAAATAGTTGCTATTATTTTGCTTAGTGTTTTGAATACCACTGTAAATATTAATACATTTTAAATAATAATAGGTTGACCCTCATATTCCAGTAAAGTTAATTGAACTGTTTACATTCATACAGAAAGTTTTTAAAAATTACAAATCAGTATAATTTTTGAAAGTTTAAATTCACTTTTTCACAATAATAATAAAGCATAAAACCTACTAGTCATGAAACATTTTTGTTCCAATAAAAATAAAACTGTTACTCTAATATAAGGAATTTTTCAAAATTTGTGACTATTATTGTCTAATATTTCTTCAGTATTTGACAAACTAAATTAAGAACTTTATTTGTCAGCATAATTTTTTGCAGTTTTATTCAGACGTATTCAGACATGTATTAAGATCAAAGGGATTTTCCAGTAAATGTATTTAGAATGGCTGCTACAAAACTCTTTCCCAAACTACCAGTTTGGGATAACCATATCATATTGTTAAAATCATTTTATCCAAAATAAATGCAAGCAATACTCTAACTTTGCTTTTCTTCTTCCATAAAACCAGGAATGAGTCTCTCTGTCCTTCCGTTTTAGTCCTTGGATTGAGACACCTCATTTTCAACTGAATGCTTCATTCCTGATTACTCAAATTTGGCTGGCTTCTGAGACCAGTAATTGGAGATATTTCCCTAATTTGCAATATTATCTGTGTTTTGTTTTGACTAGAGAACCAATACAGAATACATTTCAGTGCTGTCAACTGCACTGTAAATACTAGAAAGCGTCTGTCCTGCAAACTTCAATATTTCTGAACAGAAGCTAGAAAAGAACATGGCTGGAGAAGGTCTCTTTCCATGAAGCTGTGGTATGCATACAGGAGTGGGAGGGATTGAAATGGCCCACACCTCCTTCCCCCTCTCCCCTTCCCCCCATGAAGGATATACACTGAAACGAAAAGCAACACAAATATACCAATTTTTCAAACTGATGCAGGGAGGGCTTTTTGGATGAGGGAAAACTGACTGGTTCCTCTCAGCCTAGAATAAATCCTTCAGTGATTGGTTCTGAGACAGTAGCTTCTGTTCTTGAACTCAAAAGGTTAGGTTTCTGAGGAAGTTTGCCTTATGTTATCCATCTGCTTACGCTAATGATTGCTCTAGGGAGAAGGAGGCTGAGTCCCCTGCTACCTAAGTGATCATGAGACTAGGAAATAACTTTTAGAACATTTTTCTAAATCTTATTTTCCATGTCTGTCTGATTTAATGTTTTAGCTATTTTTATGGTTTTTTCTAGTGTTCTACACTGCCCAGAGTCCACTGGAGTTGGGTGCCCAATAAATTTAAATGAAGAAACAAATAATTTGACAGAGTTATAGAAAAATAACAAATTATTTTGCTTATTTTTGTTCTCCCCACATTACTTTTTTTTTGGTAGCAATTGGCAGTACTTCGATATGATTGGAAATAAATACTGTGGAATAATTTACCTGTTCCTCAGTTTTTAGATCACCAAACTCTTGCATGAAAGTGGTTTCTGAAGGAAAACGACTTGGTTCCAAGAAATGGAGCAAGCTAAAAAGCTCTTCTACAGTGTTTTGCAAAGGAGTACCTGTTAGAAGCACCTTGTGTTCCTGCAAAAAAATAAGAGAGCCGGGAACTTTCAAATTTCAAATGGTTTCATGTCCATTTTTTTCCTTTTTTGCAACTGCATTTAGATATTATCAATGGATTCTCTAAAGTGGGCTAATGAACAAATGTAGGTGCTTCATAGCCTTCTTTCAAGCAGGAAAATTGTAATTTTAATTTATTACTAATGACAAGAATTTTAACAACAAAAACTGGAATTCAAATGGCCAGAATTAAAAGACTTCTCTTGGAGTTTTAAGAGTATCAATACCCACCAGGTCCATCATTTTGAGCCCTTCTAGCAGCTTACAATTTCTGTTCTTCAGCCTGTGAGCTTCATCAATGATCACACAACGCCATGGAATGTTACGGAGCTCAGGACAATCAGTCAAAATCATTTCAAATGTTGTAATGATGGCATGAAATTTGTATGATCCTTTAATTACACGACCCTAAAAGTATAGAAATTATTATACAAGGTTTAAACAACCTTATCTATGGTGCAAAGGAACCTAAGTTTTCTTTCAAAAATATTCAGTGACTAATGATGAGAGAGATGTGGATAATACCTAAATCTGCCCTTAAACTTTCAGATTCCCTAAACAATTTGCTTTGGAAGTTGAAAGCCACCATAACACTGTGGATTCTTTATAAACAGTACCAACAGTACCAGTATCCTAAAGAATATTGATAATGTGAAAATTGTGGGAGGAAAGCCCTATTAGTAATCTGGATCTACATAAACAACCTGTTTTCCACTCCTCTCCACCCACCTCAATTTACATCCTACATCAGTCTAGCCACTCTATGAATCTGATGAAGGGAGCTTATGTTTTTTAATAAAATGTGTTAGCTGGAAAAAGTGGTACCAGACTCCTGATTTTTTGATTTCATACTTAGAAATAATTCTTAATTTTGCCTAATCACAGTGGGAAAAGTGTATCCTACCCTAATTTACGAAATCTTAACAGAGTAATACCTGTATGTGCAGAATTTATGGAAAACATCTCCCCTTGGCAATCCTTTTCTAATCCTGACTTTATTTTTTGAAACAATAAAAGGCAATAACCAACTAGGAAAAATAGTTTTTTAGAAGTCATCTTTTATTATACTAAGAATATTCATTCACCTGTGGGTCTTTGAAGTACATTTCATATGACTGAATTGTCCTTCGACTGGCTTGGCTCCCATGATACACCACAACATTCAACTCTGTCCAAGTACGGAATTCTCTTTCCCAATTGGGGATTGTAGACAATGGGGCAATAACCAAAAATGGACCATGGATTCCTTTTAAGTATATCTCATAGAGAAATGTAATGGACTGGATAGTTTTTCCCAATCCCATTTCATCTGCTAAAATGCAGTTGCGCCTGCAATTAATAAATGTTCAGTAATGAAATTGTAATTCAGCTCCCCAAATGAGATTTACAAAACATACTTCCCTAGTTTGTTTTAATGTAAGAAGAGTGCTGTCTATCACAAGGAAATTTACTTTTGAGCATGCAGAACTGAAACAGTGTTAACTCAAACATCATTCTTAAAAAAGAAAAAAAAAACACTTTAAGGTTTAATATACTCATGCACAGACACAGAAGTTGCTATTTTATTAATCAGGTCATTAAAACATCCTGTATTTTAAAATATTCAGGGATATTAAATTTGAGCAATCAAACTATACATTCTGCTTTTTTACAATGAATGCATGTTACATACGTGTTGTACCAGTTGAAAAGAAGCCAGTTTACTCCTTCCAACTGGTATTCCCTGAGTTTGTTGTTGTTTTTATATTCTCTGGAACATTCTGATTTCTTCCAGTCATCAGCAGGAGGTCGCTCCTATTTCAAATACAGCAAATCATATTACTGGTTTCCACAAACCACATTATTAAGCTACTATTAAGGAACATTTTCAATACAAAGCTAAATCTTACCACACGTTCTGTTTCTGGCTCCCTAGCCACTAGTCTCTCATATTCTTCAATCTTAGCTTGATCTATGTCTTGCTTTAATTCCCATGTGCTGTCTTCATATGGAAGTGAACACCATTTCACCAAATAATGAGTCACAGGCTTTTTTTTAAAGGGGGGAAAAAAAGCAAACAAAATTATTAAATGAAAGTCAGTGCACATAATCAGCTGCATTGGAATTCTGTAAACTAAATAAAACTTAGCATATTTCACTGAACTTCTATTTTTAGTGTAAAAACAGTATATAATCTGAGAAAGTACTTCATTACATCACTTTTAAAGTTACTGATTACTTACCTATAAGTGCAGTTCTTTGAGTGACAATCTGTGAATTCACACATCATTGACCTTACAGAAAACTAAGTAAGGGCTGTCAGAGCAAAGCACACAAAGTTCTTTGGTGAGTGTACTGAATTATCATCAGTAAGGAAAGTAGTTTTCCAAGAGAGCAGTTACAATGAGCCAGAAGCTCAAATGGTTTTGAGATGTGCCAGGGTGAGCACCAGGGAAAGATTCCAAGGCAGCATAATAAATGGATGAGGTGGAAAAACATTAGAACTACTTAACAGTAGTGTGTATAAAAATTGGGCAACTGAAAATCATACCTTTGTAAGCTGAAACTACAGCCAGACCTTTTCTTTTTCCTTTTAGCTTTGACAAGAAGTCAAAAATATAACTGAAGACAACCCAAATTCTCCCTGATGGCTCTAGGCAGGCTGAATACTTCTATTTTTAAGCATAAGTCTTCTGAGTGGAATATTTTTTAAAAGCCCAAATATGTGTTCTACTGAAACATGAAACTGATAATCTCCAAGCCATAAGTTTGAGCATCACCACATCTGGATGAACCATAGTGCTCCAATATATGATAAGTAGATTTATCTAATTTGAAAGTCTGAAAAATGTTCAACAAAATGGGATAGTCAGTAGGGTGCAGAATTGCTTATTGCTACCTGTCCCCTATTTTGTATCAGAAGAAACTTAAAAGTTGGTGTGCCTTGAATATTCTTAGAAGTTTCATTTAGTTTCTATAATTATGAGAGTCTTGCCAGGTCTAAAGGCATTGCACTTGCCATGATGACAGTGTATCTACCACCCAGTGTTTGAAGCATTGGTATCAATGGAATTGGTATCAATGGAATGTTATGGTATCAATAGAAAAGGGTTTACAAAGGGCAAGAACCAGAAACCCAGGTTCTGCTACCATTACAAAGTCCACAGAATAAGTTGATGACCAAAGACAACAACTGCTGGCTTTTGCTTGATTTGAAACCTTGTAGAAAAAACAGGGCCATAATATCCTGATCTGGAGATGGGCAAATGGCATAACTGCAATAATTGCCAGTATATTGGGATACGTTTGTCTGAAAGAAGGTAGCTGCAAGTTAACTTTGAGATGAGACCCCAATAAACATAGTATATATCAGGAAGAAATCCCACTGTTCATATCTAAGCATGCTTCGGTGAAATAGATAACCTGTGTGGGAGAAAGTTAGCACTTTTTATAATTAATCAGCAAACCCAATCATTCCAAGTGGAGCAAAACAGAATGGATTCTTAATTCTTTGATGCAGGAGTCCCACCAACAACCAAAAATCCAGATATAAAAATGTGAAGATACTCTGGAGGAGCAGATTCTCTATCACACAGCAAAACTTTAAACAGCTATCATTATACCAAAAGGAACAACAGAAAATCAATATGGAATATTAACCACTCTGACTACTGTATAAATTACTGCTGATGGTTGGGAGCAACATAATTGTAAAAATAAGTATCAATCCAGTCTGTTGAGGCAAACCAGCATCCTTTAAAAACAAAAGCTGCCCAGAGTCACCTGCTGGGGGAGATGGGTGGCATACAAATTGAATGAATGAATGAATGAATGAATGAATGAATGAATGAATGAATGAATGAATGAAGTCAAAATGAAACCATATGAAACTTGGTTATCTGCAGATTGGCATTTGCATCCAGAAGATCAAGGACCTGATAAAAGTCACCATTTTCTTCAATATAAGAATAGAAACTTGCCCTGGAATAACTCAGAGAGACTCACTTTCCAGTTATTCTATGGAGAACAGACCCTATCTTTTTGCACAAGGGCAGATTTCTGGGACTCAGAGCAGGCATCGAAGAGAAGAACAGAAATAGTCTGTGTGGTTACTGTGGGAGATCACTGTTCATAAATTCATTATAATAGAATTTCAACCATAAAATTTTGGAAGAATGAGCTAATTGTGCCAAGGGAATCAAAAGTGCTGCCTGGAATCCCAGCTTGGTCTGTGGATTTGGTGCCTGGATCTAGCTGATTTGAAGAATGTCCTATGATTTGATCTGGTCTAATGGACACATTTTCCTCTGCAGACAATATCATATTCCATAAACACCAAAATATTGGTTTTGGACAGTCTAGCATGCCTATAGTTAGTTGATCTTCTAACTAAATAAATTATAGTAAATCCTCAGCTCAGGCCTGAGTCTCCTGTGAGAGTTCATTGAAGTGAAGCCATGTGTGATGCTGAAGGGCAACTGCACCACTCAAGGTTTCTGCAGCACAGTCTCTGGAGTTATGAACAACATTTACTGTTTAGCAATGTAAATTGCCTTAACAATTGCTATCTCCTTGTTATCAAGCACAAAAGCAAAGAAAGAATTTTTTTTCATAAGGATAATAATAATACTTAGTGAAGCAAGCCTAGTAATTTATTATCCCAAGGTACAAGTATATTATTGCTAGTTTACTGCCACTAAGGTTGAGATGTTTTAAGTCTTATTGAGTTTAAAAAAAAACATAGCCCTCCTCTAGTACCTGATACAAGTTTTCAGGCCTTTTGAATCTTGAAGATACTTTGGTTTTAAGCAAGAATCCTTGGCCAACAAGTAACACTGGGAATATTGTTATCCAGACCAGCATAACTGTGGAACCTTGAACTAGCTAAAAATACCAGATCCTGAATGTTCCACCTCTAGTTTGTTTGGGTTTTTTGGTCAAATAATTTTATTAAAAGTTTTGAATAAAGCAATAAAAGATAATACAGACTAAAAGAAAAAAAGATATAAAAGAAATGCCAAAAAATATGTATAACCCCCCCCCCCCGAAAAAAAAACCCCCCCCCCC